TTCCTGGGAGAGAGGAGGGGAGAAGAGCTTTGGAATAGAGTGTAGACCTGGATGCTGTTGACTTTCTGCGAAGACAACCCTGAAACCAAGTGTTCTCTCTTAAACTGTCCATCAAATACACATCTGACGCTTTCTAGGAACTCCAAATCAATTTATCACAATGATTTACCGCAAACTATTGGAAATATACTTGATGCACCCTGTAATAATCCAAATGAGACCACAAACAGAAACGAGGCACACCTGTAGCTCATTTGTTCCCACTGTTTCCACTGCTTCAATTCACACTTTCGCCAGGAGCAGATTAGATCATCTCCCAAACTGACTTCTGATTTAATGAAGTAGTTCATGCACATTCATTTGGTTCTCTGAAATAATCCCTTTAAGAAAACACATTTCTCCTTTTCAAATGCAGCTCAGCCTTTTCTTGCCATGAACCGCTTTCGAATGTTACCATTGACTGTATTGAAATGAATGAATATATTATAAAGCACTTTATCTTTATTGCTGCCTGAAGTAATCTCTGAAGACTGTAATTGCCAGCCGTGTACCTTGGGCCCGTAACTCCATTACGGGGCTCTTCTGGAGCCATCAGTCCCAGGGATAGTCCTCCGCTTGACAAACCAGACATCAAATCCCAAACTTGCCTAAATGGCACTCTTCAGGTCTGTTCACCCTAGCCTGAACCTGGCAGATGTTATCAGAAGCCTCAGCTGCCGGGTCTGTTCTTGAGTCTGCTTAACAAGGCTGTCATGCCTCTGATAACTTGACGTCACAGCTTCTGATCAAAGACTCCCTCCAGGATCAAGTGGCCCCCTGCTTCCTTTGACTGTCCATAAATATCCTTAACAGGTGATAATGTTAATTTTAATTTTCTAGCCATATTTGTGTGTGGGACAGGCGCCAGCCACCTTTCCAAAGTGGGGTGGTGAGGAGGTTAATACTGTTTGCCTTTGTGTTTGGGCTGGGGGTGACCCAGTTTCTCCAGATAGATCTAAATATCCCATAGTCTAACAACAAAGATTAAATTAGTGGGGATTAAATTAAGTGGGGATGGGGGTCATTGAAAAAGCTCTCCTGCCAGCAGGCCAGTAAACCTTGGGTTCACACTTGGTCATGAATTTCTGTGCAATCTGAGGATTTTAGAAGTAATCTTGTCCAGATCTCTCCTTTCAAAGTAACAGCTACCACTCATCACAAGTTTAACATGTGCTAAAAACTGCTCTTTGATGTATCTTATAGAAATTAATTTTTACAAAAAAATTTGGAGGTTGGTATTTTAATCTCTATTTTTAGAGATGACATTTCTTGACCAGATTCTCACAGCAAATGGCAGATGTGGGATTTGACTTGAGGTTTATCTGGCTCCAAATTTATGTGACAGAATTCCAAATCAGTAATTTGATACTTACTCACAAAGTTTCAATGCCCTCGTCCCCCAGTTTCTATACTTTAAAGTGAGTTGAGAACGTTACAGCACTGCGCTCAGTGGCACAGTGAGAAGTGATAGCAAGGAGATGAGCAGCCCCCTTAGAGGCTTCCCTGGTGATCCAGTGGCTCAGAGTTCGAGCTCCCAACGTAGGCGCCTCGGGTTCCATCACTGGTCGGGGAACTAGATCCCACCTGCCACGACTAAGACCAGGTGCAGCCAAATAATATTTTTAAAAAGCTGCCCCTTTAGCTATTCCCAAATTCACAGTCTCAAGAAAACCTTCACGTGTGTCAGCTTGCCAGTTCCTGGGAGACTTGCTCCTGATTCCAAATGTCCAGGAACAATTTACCACCTAAAATTAAATCAGATCAGTTCGGTTCAGTCGCTCAGTCATGTCTTACTCTTTGAGACCCCAAAGACTGCAGCATCCCAGGCTTCCCTATCCATCACCAACTCCCAGAGCCTGCTCAAACGCATGTCCATTGAGTCAGTGATGCCATCCAACCGTATCATCTTCTGTCTCCCCTTTCTCCTCCCGCCTTCAATCTTTCCTAGCATCAGGGTCTTTTCAGATGAGTCAGTTATTTTGCATCAGATGGCCAAAGTATTGGAGTTTCAGCTTCAACATCAGTCCTTCCAATGAATACCCGGGACCGATTTCCCTTAGGATGGACTGGTTGGATCTCCTTGCAGTCCAAGGGACTCTCAAGAGTCTTCTCCAACACCACAGTTCAAAAGCATAAATTCTTCTGCGTTCAGCTTTCTTTATAGTCCAACTCTCACAGCCATACATGACTACTGAAAAAACCATAGCTTTGACTAGATGGACTTTGTCAGATACTCCGCCCTTATCAGACCCTTTAGATATAGCCCTACCTCGAGAAACAGCAACAGAAATCACTTCTTCTCCATTGAATGTTGACAATTATTCTTATTATTATTCATGAATAACATATCAAAATATGATACTGAAGGCCTTTACCTGTCCAACAAGAAGACAGATATAACTAGGTAATATCAGGGTATAGAAGTAAATCTTGGGAAGTGGTGGAAAGAGGAGAGAGGACCATAATCTAACCAGGCAGATAAAACCCTCAGTGAAGAGGGCATGTGTTGACCTGCTGGGTGGAAACCCTCCAAGTTCATGTCTGCATCATGGACCGCGTGTGTCTGACTCTGCGACCCCATGGACTGTAGCCTTCCAGGCTCCTGTGTCCAAGCAGTTTCCCAGGCGGGAATACCGGATTGGGCTGCCACTTCCTTCTCCAGCGGATCTCCCTGAGCCAAACCCGTGGTCCCTACATCAGCAGGTGGATTCTTACTGCTGCACCACCGGCGTTATTCAAAAGAGGAAGAAGACCATATTGCTTTGGTTGGAATCCCTATACTGAGAGAGGCTCTGAGGAAATCAGATAACTTAGGCTGGTCTCTGGGTCTGATTAGCCTTCTCTGCGGGAGGTGGGGGGGCAACTGGCAGAAAGGGATCGAAGCTGGTGGATATGTCGAAGGTCAGGAGGGCTGTGGGTCCCAGGGCGAAAGGAGGCCCACAGCAAACATCTAAGACTTTATCAACGTTGCCATCCAGCCAAGGACTTCCTCAGAGGCCAGTTGACTGAGCGCTAGCCCTGCCAGAGTTTGAAGAGACAAAAGCTCACCCTTGTTCTTGCTTCCACTTAGAAAATTAATAAAATGCAAGTCATCCCAGAGGCCCTGGGGAAGGTCCAGCTGTCCTGTGAGGTCTCTGCCCTGAAAGATCATGAAAATGCACTTTTAAAGGAACAGGCGCCTTGGTTGTTTCTGTGCATCTGTTTACTTGTTAGAGCTTCCACACTGTCCTCCTTCACTGGAGAAAATCTAGCTATCTTAGTATGTAACTTGGGAAGAATGTGAGGGGGAAAATGTGGCTGTTTATCGCCCCCTGTGACCTTGGGCCTGTTTTCAAAGTCATCTGGGTTTTGGTTGCTTCCTGTCTGAGGTGGATTGCCTGGGTAAACACAGAAATATTGTTCTTCATTAAGCACCGTCACATTGCCAGCTTCTTAGAGAGATGAAAGTGTTTCTTTTACCTTACGGCTCTTTCTTTCATTATTAACAACCTTTTCTAACAGAATTTTCTTAGAGTCACAAACTGTTACAGCCAGAAGGGAGATAAGGGATGGAAAAAAGCACGCTTCCACTGTAAGCGTCTATTCACACGCAGAAGTGCCCACAGAGCTGAGGGCAGGCACTCCCAAGTCCCCGCGCTGCCTTCGGGGCCTGTTTTCAGTTCTGTCCTCGGTAGGGAGAAGGGCTCATCCTGTCCTGGCACTAGAAGCCTTTTGTACACTTGAAAATTGCGGTTAGCTAACCCTGTAACCCTCTTGCCTCCAAACAGAATGACCTCGGTTCCTTTAACCTCTCCTGTTCTTTATTTTTCAGCTGTCTCATCGCTCCCGCGGCTTCTGACTGCAGTTTCTTTCACTTCCCCATTAATCGCAGGCGCCAGAGCCACAGCCCGTGTTCGGAAGGGTCTGCCCAGTTTGCGAGGCTGAGCAGGGGGTGGGGGTGGGCTGGCGGCAGGGGCTGCAGACGCTTGTGAGCGGACAAGCAGGTGGGAAGGGGAGAGAGGCGGGCATCTCCGTGTGCGCCTTGGGAGTCGGACGTCTCACCCACCCTATCATTCACACTTAGAGTTTCCCAAACAATGTCGGTGAACTATTTCCTCACCAAGCGTTTAACACGGCTTCGCTGTGGGCTCAGTACTTCCGGGGGAATTCAGAAAACTGCCGGATTTTGGTCCTCAGGTTGAAAGCTGCCTGTGGCCAGTGTTTGTATTTTTCACCTAGTTTACAATGTGTTATTTAGCTACTGCCATTTTAAAATTAGGAGAGTTCACTTAAGAATTATCCAGATGTCTAGCTTCTTTTACATCCCCCCCCGCTTTGGCCATGTAGCTTACGGGATCTCAGTTCTCCGACTAGGCCCAAACCTGGGCCCCCGCAGTAAAAGCGCAGAATCCTAACCTCCAGGCCACCAGGGAAGCCCACTTCTTTCACATTCTACAGGCTGGGAATATTAGGCTGGCCTGTCAGGCCGGGAATCACGTGCTAAAGCTGAGTAGTGGCTCTCCCACCTGCCCCCCAACATCTCCCCCCACCATGTGAACGGGAACTGCTTTCTAGTTCTCCAAGCCCCACCTCACCCATTGTGACACACTGCATTGTGTCCCTCAGATTCATATGTCGAAGGCCTAACCCCGGATGACTAATAGATACAATCACAACCAGAAAGCAGAGAGTTATTTTATTTGGTGGGAACGTTTCAGACCCCGAGTCCGGGAAGCAGCATCTCAGGAGTTCTGGGAAAGCTGCTCCGAGGAGGCGGGAAGGGAATCAGGCGATAGACAAGTTTGCAACAAAGGGATGAAGTCTTCACATTGGAGATCAGGTACCAAGTTAAAGAATTTAGCGTTCTACCTATGGGAAGATGCAAGCCTCTGGACTTACTGAATTCATTCCTTTCATATGCACTGCAGGGATCTGGGGCTAATCCTGCTTCCTTGTTCATCCTTCTTCTTGCATTCCCCCAGGTCCTTTGCAATCACCAGTGGCATCCGCTGAATTGGTTTTGGGAGCCCTCATTCATATTTGGAGAAATCGCTGATGGCTGTGACATTTCTTGTTTATTGATATGGCAGGAGATATTTTCACTTCATATGCCCAGCGTGACTATATTTGGCAATGGGACCTTTAAGAAGGCAAATGAGGTTAAACAAGATCATAAGGGTGGAACCTGTGGCTAAGACTTCACACTCCTAATGCAGCGGCCCCAGGTTTGATCCCTGGTCAGGGAACTGGATCCCACATGCAGCAGCTAAGAGTTCTTATGCCGCAACTAATGGTCCCACATCCCGCGATGAAGATGGAAGATGCTGAGTGCTGCAACTAGGAGCCATTGCAGCCAAATAGATAAAGTTAAAAATAAGGGCGGGCCCTAACCCCAAGGGACTAGCGTTCTTTTCTAAGAGGAGGAAGGAACAGCAGAGAGCTGTCTTCTCTCTCCACGTGGGCGACATCTATAAGCCAGGAAGAGGGGCCTCACCAGCAACCAACCTGGAGGCACGTTGACCTCGGGCTTCTAGTCTCCGGAACTGTAAGAATCTGAATCTGCTGTGTAAGCCCTTGAGTCTTGCTATCCCGTTCCGGCCGCCTGAGCAGACGGACCCACCCGTGCGCCTCATTTACTGTGTGCCCCGCTTCTGTGGGCATCGGAGCTCGAGACTCCTGCTTTACATCCTTGAGAGTTGAAAGTGAATGTCCACGTCCTATGCTTTGTCTCCTGGTGGGGAAACAGTTAAATGGAGACATCATTTGCGACAGGACGCAACGTCAGAGATATACAAACGGATATCAAAGGACAGAACTGTCAGTGGGGGGCATGGAAGGGAGAAGAGAAGTTTCCACTATGTGAAGAGCATGTCGAAGGGTTTTAAGAGACTCAGAAGATTTCAGTGAACAGCGATGGAGCAGAAGGCAGAAGCCAAGGTAGGCAGGGGTGAGAGTGGGTGCTGTGTTACCAAGTCTGGCTAGAGTTCAGGATACATTGCACGTGAGAACTGTATGATAGGAGATAAGACCAGAAAAGGCGAGGAGGGTTGGGTCATGATTCTGGAATGCCCCACCATAGGATTCGGTTTAATTCTGGAGCAAATGAGGAGCACCAGCGGATGGAGGGTATGTTTTCATCAGTTAAGTAATTAATTGTTAGGAACATCTGATGTGCCAGGTGCTGCAAATACAGTTGAGGACAGGATGGAACTAAGTCTCTGCCCTCCGTGGAACTGACAGAAATGAACACTCAGATGCAGAACACAGTGTCAACAGAACACAGTGTCGGAGAGTGATGAGCGCTACAGTGTAAGGGGCAGGGTGGATACGGCAAGTGCTGGTATAGATGCAGGTCCCGAAAGGCCTGGGATTTGGGCAGAATCCCGGATGGAGTCAGAGAATGAATCATGGAGCACATGTTCTAGACAGAGGGAACACACGTGCAAAGGTCCTGGGGCAGGAACACAGTTACAGTCAAGGAACAATGCAGGCCGATCTGGCAGGAGTGAGCACCTGGAAGGATGGTGGGCAGTGAGGCTGAGGGAGGCAGGTATCAGATCTTGTCTAGGAAGGGGGCTCCACTGTAGTGTGAAGGATGCATGGGGGATAAAGACTGGAAGGGGGAGACTGCCACACGCCTGTGGGAATGAGGGGGGTCTGAGCCATCACAGGAGCAATGGGGTTGGGATTGCAGAGTCAGACTTAGGAGATGGGGGCATTGTGGACCAGGACACAGATGAAGTCCCCAGACAGAGCTGGCCTCGGGGGAATAAAGGGCTTTGAGACAGAATGAGATGGGGCGCTGGCCTCCCAGTCTCTGGATCAATCATGTGTGATGGCAGGCATCGGAGAAGGAGCAGAACCACCACGCGCTCTCTCCCCCAAAGTTCAGACCATCCGTGTGACTGTCCCAGAGCAGGAGGAAGGAAGAGACGGAGTTCATTTGCTTCCACAGCTCGGAGGCCGGGGCAGTCTCCACGGGGAGAATGCACAAACGTTCTCCCCTTGAAAGGTACAGCAAATCTGTTTCTTATCGCTGCAGGCCTGGCAAATGTCCCGGGCATCCTGGTCTGGTCTAAGCCTCGAATGAAATGACTTGTTCTAACAAGTAGAAATACAAAGACGTGGAAGGCATGGTGGGTGGGGGTGGGGGCGGTTAACACAGTCCAGAATGTGGGTTGGCTTGGGACAGCTTCTTGGCACTTTCTGCCTTGTTGATTAAGCTTCAGTGAGGAGGACGGATAGTTCTGAGAGCCATATAAAGCTCTGCCTCCGGAGTGCGATGGAGCAGTCACCTTTGGCATTCTTTTCTACTCTTTTACCCTTGGTATTTTCCCTTTTCCCTCTTGCTTGGCTGTGAGAATTACGATGAGCTCCTTAGGAAAGAATGCTGGGCTTTCTCAGTTGCCCCCGCTGTGGGCAAAAGTTCAAAAAGAGAAGGCGTCGACGGTGAACGTCCGTGGGAAGAGTGCCCCCTGTTGGTACGCTGTATCTGTGGTTGGCTGCCTTGCCTTGGCAATCGCTTCCTTATCATTTCACTAAGTAAATTGGTGGAGAAAAGCGAAAGGTATTGCTGTTGGCATAAATTAATTTCACCCAGTGTTTCTAGAGCCTTCATGAACAGCCCTCATTCTTACTCGTCCATGGTTTCTGAATCTTCTGACCCTGCCTTTCTTTGGGATTTACACTTAATCTTTTACTAATTCATGAAGGAAACAAAAAAAAAAAGGTAAAAAGGGCTGCAATTCAGGGCTTGGAGGGAGTATTGATAAAATTCATTGGATCAGTTTCCGCCCCTCATTGCTATTACATCTATCGTCTACTCAGGTGTTGAATGCGTGAGGCCCCTCAGAATCTTAAATGAGGTAATTCCCTGGTGGCCCAGTGGATGCTCAGACCCCACACTCCCAATTCAGGGGCCAGGGTTGGATCTCGGGTCGGGGAACCAGATCCCACCTGCCACAGCTAACACCTGACGCAGCCAAATAAATGGTTTTTTTTTTAATCTTAAATGAAAAAGGTACAATCCTTGTCTTTGCTGATCTTGGAGGGCAGTGGGAAAGATGGATGAGGAAACCAAGTTATGACACTGGGAGACAAATATTGAGGTCTGCACAGTGAAGTGGGTGTGTGGTCAGAGGGAAATGAACTTTTTTGGTTATTCAAACTCAATGGTGAAAAAAATGAAAGCCTCCCTGACTTGAATTTTTTCTCCGGACAGTAACATCTGTCCTATGCACTAGAACTCAAGATTCTATGAACAAGTTATGGTGGATTTAATATATTTCAGTGTTACTAATCCAAGGAATGATTTTAGATCTGAAAGGGCTACATTAATACGTGTCTGGTATCATTATAATTCAAATGTCCCAGGGAAGTTTTTTTTTTTATTAATTCGAACACTTGGAGAGTCTCAGTGTCTCTAGTTTTAAGTAATCAAGAAAGAAAGAAAGTGAAGTCGCTCACTTGTGTCCGATTCTTTGCGACCCCGTGGACTGTAGCCTACCAGGCTTCTTCATCCACGGGATTCCCCAGGCAAGAACACTGGAGTGGGTAGTCATTCCCTTCTCCAGGGGATCTTCCCGACCCAGGGATCAAACCCAGGTCTCCTGCATTGCAGGCAGATGCCACCCTCTTGCAGAACACCAGTGTACAATGAAAAAAGTTATGTGTGGGTTTTGCTAGAAGTCATAATTTTGGTAGAAATTATTTTCCTTCACAGAAAAGGAGAGTTGTACTTAATGAGTCCTTCCGGAAATGGTTCTTCACGGGAAGAGGCTTGCCCCTCCCCCTTCTCTTGTGACATTTACTCACTGGCCCTACCCAAGGCCTTCTACATACGTGGTTCTGACCATTACCCAGGGCCCCAGGGGCCCGTAACCTTTGATTTTGTTCTATTTGGAAAATTTATTAATGCATTTTTCAGAGTTTTATTTTTTTCTCTTTCTCTATGCCCCAAACCTTCTATATGAGAAAAGCTTTAAATAAAACTGTGCGAAAGAGGTAGGGGATTAGTGTGGAGAGAGACCATTCTGGTGAGCTCTCTTGTCTATAAATTCAAATAAAAGATGGTGGTGGCATTTGAGGGGTGTCCCTCTTTTCAGCAGACACAGTTGGTGTTATTATTTTATTTAAATTATTTATTTTAGTTTAGAATAGTTAGGAGATATTTGGCATTTGCATAAATTTGGTCATCTTTAAAAATTTCTCTTTCTTTTTTTGTTTTAACTCTCAATTGTGCACTAAAGACACCATTTCTATCCCTTCAAGTGGAACCCTTCTCTCTCACAGGACAGATCTCGCTAGGACTCCAGCTTTGGTTCACTTTATCTCTGTTGCTCTGACCATGCTTTGTCCAAAAATATCTTCTAAACAGAAGAATTCCTAAGGGGAGTTTGGAGAGGGACCCACAAAGTCCTTAGATTGATCGTACCTCATAAACACTGCTTTAGGCACTGTTGTGCTGACTTGTTCGCTTAGAACTGGACATGGAACAACAGACTGGTGGCAAATAGGAAAAGGAGGACGTCAAGGCTGTATATGGTCACCCTGCTTATTTAACTTATATGCAGAGTGCATTATGAGATACGCTGGGCTGGATGAAGCACAAGCTGGAATCAAGATTGCCAGGAGAAATATTAATAACCTCAGATATGCAGATGACACCACCCTTATGGCAGAAAGCAAAGAAGAACTAAAGAGCCTCTTGATGAAAGTGAAAGAGGAGAGTAAAAAAGTTGGCTTAAAACTCAGCATTCAGAAAACTAAGACCATGGCATCCGGTCCCATCAGTTCAGTTCAGTTGNAAGAACTGACTCCTTGGAAAACACCCTGATGCTGGGAAAGATTGAAGGTGGGGGGAGGAGCGGACGACAGAGGGTGAGATGGTTGGATGGCATCACCAACTCAATGGACAGGAGTTTGAGGAAGCTCTGGGAGTTGGTGATGGACAGGGAAGCCTGGCAAGCTGCAGTTCATGGGGTCACAAAGAGTCAGACATGACTGAATGTCTGAACTGAACTGTGCTGACTCGAAATAAAAACCTTATTAGACTCGAGGAGCTCTGAGCCTCCATGTAGCTTTGAACCTGCTGTGTCCTGAGCCAGTTTCAACGATTCATTATGGCTGGAGGCATAAGGCTGTGTGTATATTCACTGATGCCGGACAATTAAGCCTTGTTTTTAAAGATTATTTTTTCATGTGGACCACTTTTGAAGTCTTTACTGATTTTGTTACAATATTGCTTGTGTTTTATGTTTTTGGTTTTTTGGCCTGGAGGCATATGGGATCCCTGACCAGGGATCGAACCCCTGCCCCTGCTTTGGAAGCACTGAGTTTTAACCACTGGACCAACAGGGAAGTGCCAATTAAGCTTTTAAATTAGGTTTACCATCTTTTGGTAGGAGCAGAGGTGCTAAATTAAGGATAGAATTTAAACACAACACTCAAAATGGCAGTGAGAAATGAACAGAGGGGAGGGGAGAGGTGGGACGGTGGGCTGGGGGAGAACCTGGGCTCCTCTGGGCCTGTGACTCATGGGCTGTGGGTCCTGGCGTCAGCCGTGGATGTGCTCTGGGGCTCATTTTCCTGTCTTTAAAGTTATCAGTAGTGTCCTGCTACGGGGCACCTCAGGAAGGAGAAGGAGGGGCAGATGGGAGGCACCGTGGGTGGGAGCAGGGGTCCCCGTCTCCTTCTATCTGAGCAGCAGTTTTATTCTGTTATAAATATTCAATTTCATCCTAAGATATTGTTTGAGGAAAGCTAAAGATCTTTTTTCATCCAGCAAAACAAAACATGACCCTCAGTCCCAGAAGAAAACCTTTCAAAAATATTTGGCCCAGACGATTCCTCCTTTCCTACAAGCTCCGGAATTCTGTGAGACTCAGAACGGTGGCATTTGTTGTTTTACTGCCCACCTGTTGCCTTAGATG